AGGCGTAACATGTTCTCAAAAAAAATTAGGGTTGGCACGCAGAAGAATTTTGAGTCAGAGATTTTGCTGGTTTTGGCATGCACTCACAAAAAGGTTGCCCACCCCAGTCTAGGGTTTGATTCCCACCAAGGGCACATGTCCAGGTTATGCGCTTGATTCCCTATAGGGAGCGTGCAGGAAGCAGCCAATCAATGATTCCCTCTCATCATTGATGTTTCTATCTCTCTCTTCCTCTCCCTTCCTCTCTGAAATCAATAAAGATATATTTTTTTTAAAAAAAGCATAGGGCAATAGAGCGTAGTGTTGTTAAAAGCTCAAGCTCAGAGCCACCCTGCCTGAGTTGGGGCTTGGGTCTGCCACCCACTACTAATTCTGAACCATGAGCAAGTTATTAACCCCTTTTAAGACTCCTCATTTATAAAGTGGTAACAATATTTATGCTTATGCTGTGGTCTCTTGGACCTAATCAGACACACCTGGTGTCAGGGAGGGATTTCTACAAAAGAGATTATAAACTGCAAATAACAACTAAACCTATATACAGTACAGTACAGTCTATATAAAACCTACAACCTAACAATTCAGTCTCTTGATAATGATTTGGAATGAAGTTCAAGACCTTGCACAGCTGCAAAACAAGCATCAATTAGAATGCCACACTATAAACATCACTTATAATGAGAAGAGATCATAGGTAAGCAGGTATAAGACCGGCTATAATCACAGGATGTTAAGACAGATCTTGGAAATGTCGTTTCCCAAGTTATTTCATCTACTTAATGAAACCGCCATTGTTTGAGCCCTTGGACATTCTGCACTATATCATTATTTTAAAATTTTGCTAATGTACTCTCTCTACTTCATTCAGTTTCCCAAGCCATCTTCCTCAAAAGACTCTTCTTGCTTCATAATGTTAAGTCACTGCTTTGTAAGATTATTCTACTTGGGCTGAGCTAAGAGGCCACACAAGTGGGACCCCAACACCACTGCCTGTGTGGTATTCTTACAGATCACCTTCCTTTACAATTCACTCCATCATGTCTTCTATCCCCAATTTTACTAACTTCTTTCCACTCACATGCCTTCCAAATTCTTTCTCAACTATCTCCTTCATTGGTTGCTACCTCTTTAGTTCTGTGGTCTTAGATAACCAGTCTTACTGTATGTCAAGTTCAAATGGGATTAATAAAATATTCTATTTTGGAAAACATTTATTTTTAAACACTCTCCTGTTCCATGATGGAACTTTGTCACAGCAGAATCAACATTTAACCTTAATATCTCCACAGAAGAGAAAAATGAACAGACATGTATATAATATGTGAGCCTAACTGGTCATTTAAAGACAGATAAACAGTGACAGAGAGATGTGATAACGGAAAATGTGAAAAGAAAGTCATACTGTTTTAATCTTATTCTATTACTAAAGTCAGGTGGCATATTATAGATCTGACTTTTCAAACTTCCTTATTTTCACCTTCACTCTCTATATAATTCTATGGTATGATTGACAGATAGACAGATATAAAAATATATATATTTTAAATCCAATAGCCTTTTCCTAGTAGTTATTTATCAAAGCAAACTATGCCAACAACCAAGGGAACAAGTGCATTATCTTTAGTTAAAAAAACACTAATATACACAAGTAGAAACTCAAACCAGCATCCATAAAAGAAATGTTATATTAGCCTCTAAAAAAAATCTCACGGCCCTGCTGATTTACCACTTCTTTCTGGAAAAGCAAAATTTAGAATAAAAGGGGTTCACGCCCAGCCCGTGACACTTATGGCTTTTTCACTCTGAGTATGTCATTCCCCTAATCCTCACTTTCAAAACTGGAATAATTCCTGGCCAGCCTAACTTCCAGGCTGTCACAGCTTGAAGAGAAGTGCCAGTGTCTTGTTACCCCAGCAACAGAGGGCCAAAACTTTTCACTGAACAAGTCAGAGTATAATCCTATATAATAAAAGGTTAATATGCAAATTGACCCTAATGGCAGAACGACTGCTAGACCAGTCACTATTATGTGCACTGACCACCTCTCTGATCGCCCAATGGTGAACGGGGAACCGGGGGTGGGTGGCGGGGGACGCAGGTGGCGCCAGGCCAAGGCCCCCACCCCACCAGTTGCCCCCCACACAGAGGGCCGGCGAGCGGGCGGAACAGCCAACCTCTCGGTTCCTCCCCCGGGCTGGCAGGCTCTGATCACCTGATGGTGAATGGGGAACTGGGGGTGGGTGGCGGCGGGGGGCAGGGCTGGTTGTGCGAAGCCGGGGAAGATGGCCCTGATCGCAGGCCAGGCCTAGGGACCGTACCCGTGCACAAATTTCATACGTCAGGCCTCTAGTAAACAAATAAATGTAGAACACCAAGAGTAAGCCCTATGAACTTTGGATAATAATATGTCACTATAAGTTCATCAATTGTAACAAACGTACCACTCTGGCAAGGAGTGTGGATAATGAGGGAGGACTGTGCACCTGTGGGGCAGGGGATGTATGGGGAATCTCTGTACCTTCCTCAAATTTTCTGTGAACTAAAACTGCTCTAAAAATTAAGGTCTATTTAAAAATAACAACAACATGCCCAGCCAGCATGGCTCAGTGGTTGAGCGTGGACCTAGGAACTGGGAGGTCACAGTTCTATTCCCAGTCTGGGCACATGCCCAGGTTGCAGGCTCGAGCCCCACTGTGGATGTGCAGGAGGTAGCCGATCTCATCATGGATGTTTCTATCTCTCTCTCCCTCTCCCTTCCTTTCTAAAATCAATAAAATAAAAAAAAAAACAATAAAAATAATAACAACAGAGAAATGAGCAAAACAGGGTCCATCAATGCCTCAATACATGGATGCTGACTGAAAAGTGTACAATAAAGTCATAATGGCAACATTCCTCAAAGGGCTGGCCATCCCATTCCACAGGGCATGTGCACAAGTCCTATGCCACACTCTGAATTTCTCACACCAGCATTACATCACAAAGTATTAGGGCTTTGATTTGTAGGTACCGCACACTCTCCTGTTCCACAAGAAATTATTATGCACTCCGGAAGGACACAAGTCAATCTCTTTGGAGGCCAAAGTTTGCAATTTCTCTACAAGTTCACCCTGCATGTATCCTTACACAGGGGCACAGAGATTTAGGTGTGAGGTTATTCACTACAAGCATGGAAACAGTCTTATTCTCCAGATACACAGGGACCAGATACATGAATTATGGGCTATCTACACAATACAATGTAGTTAAAAGAGTAAGTCAGTGTTCTGGGCTGAACTGAGTTATCTTCCCCACCCACACACTCTCCAAATTTACAAGTTTAAGTCCTATCCCCCAGTATCTCAGAACATCTGGATACAGGGTCCTTAATAATGTAATTAAGGTTAAACAAGGTCATTGGAGTGGGCCCTAATCCAATATGACTGGTGTCCTTGGAAGATAAGATTAGGACACAGAAAAACCATGTGAGGACACGGAGAAGACGGCCATCTGCAAGCTAAGGAGCGAGATCTCAAAAGAGACCAAGTCTTCAACTCCTTTATTTCAGACTTTGAGCCTCCAGAACTGTGAGAGATTAAGTTTCTGTTGTTTCAGCCACTCAGCCTACATACTTTGTTATGTCAGCCCAGCAAACTAACACAATCATTATGCTCTGATATTTTATATACATGCGTAGCTTTATGTGTGGTGTGTGTGTGTATGCAATGACCACTAACCGATGACCTGTAGAGCGGGCCTACATGTGGGGAGGAAAAGAAGACATCTACTTCTCACTGTCCTACTCTCTGCTTGTGTGTTTACTATGTGCATGTATTACTGCTATAATTTTCAAAGGAAAGAAAAAGACTAAGTAAAGCAACTAAGTTTGATGATCCTGCTATAAAAGCATTTGCAAATGTCGCATTGACTCATGGGATTTATTTTTCTTTCTGAAGCAGCTTTCCCTGCCCTTAGTGAAAAAGAAAAATATCGAAGAGCCCTTCACACCCTCCCTCTGGCTAACTTCCTCTGAAATAGCAACAGCTTGAGTAGCCAAGGCTTTTCTAAGTGCTTCGTCCTTGCCAGGGCAGAGTCTGAATGAAAGGATGAGCCACTGCTTGCTGCTACCTGGAGCTGGGCCTCACCCCAAGTGTTATTTTCCTTCTCCTGTCTAAGGATCCAGACCACACACACACACACACACACACACACACACACACACACCAATAAATATCAGTCTCCCTCCCTGTCCTCCCCACTGGCCTTGGGCACAGACAGTTCTTCTGAGGCCTAAGCTGGGGAATGTGAGGAAATGTTACAAAAACATGAGCTAGGGCTGGCAGTAGTAACTTCCAGGTTCTTCTTCTGTTAAATTGGAAAACCAAATTCATTTATTACCTAGACAGCGGTCCCCAACCTTTTGAACCTCGCAGACCACCAGTGGTCCATGGACCACGGGTTGGTGACCACTGCTCCAAAGGTTTCTTAAACCAGCGGTCGCCAACCTTTCAGACCTCATGGACCACCAGTGGTCCACGGACCACCGGTTGGCAACCGCTGACCTAGAACTCCCAGGCAACAACACCAACAGGAAAGAGCAAAGAATCAGGAAGAAAGCCCGATGTCATAATCAGTGTGAGCATCCACACACCATGTTATCTTACTCACAGGAGTCCCCCTCTCTCCATCAGTCTTATTCTCACAGGGCCAAGAGGCTTGGTTGGGTACCAGGTTATTAAACCCACAGGGACCAGGAGGGAATAACTGGGGGGAAGAGCAAAGGTCTGAGGACCTGAATTCCAACTCTGTGGCTCTGGGTAACTCCCTTCCCTCTCTGGGTCTCGGTTTTCCTCACTTGCAAACTCAAGGAGCCTAGGTGACAAACAATAGATGGTGGGAAAATAGAGGTTTCATCCCACACTCAACTCATTGTTTTAGTGGCATCCTGGAATGCTGTGCTGGGTTCTAAGGCTGAATGGCTCAGCAGGGAAAATGCAATGGTCAGCAGGTACCATCTGCCAGAGACATGGTGGCATCTATGCAAGAGGTGATCTGACATCCCTACCATCCATAAATGCTTAGATGTTGAAAACAAACTGTAAGAGGCAAGCACTGAGTTAACCCCAAAGCGAGAAAGAAGAGAGAAAAATCAATAAAAAAGAGAAGAATTGAACAGTGGAGCAGTCCAAAGCTCTCCAAGCACCTCACAGGTACTGTGAGCATCCCTCTAATTGCTTCATGGTCTCTGTTCTGTCAGGTACAGCTCACACAGCAGCAGTGAGAGAACTCATTCATGACGATGATGGCCCAGGCATCACATTAAGTCATGCTCCCTTGGCTCCACTTAGGGAGGCGGCAAAGTACGCAGGACATTCTGTCACAAGAACCAGCCCAAATGTGGGTCACATTTTTTAGTTTCGATGCTTTCGTTTTTGGGTGTGTAAATTCCTCAGCAATGTGGAAACCATTCATCAAAAAGACGTTTTCCTCGAGGGTTGTGGAGAGCCAAGCTGGCTTTAGGACGTCTAAACTCAGTCCAGACTGCAAAAGGAAAGAAATCTTCAAATCTGGCACCGCCCTTCATTCAGTCCCTTTTCCTGACTTGGAAAAACAGGATCACTAGCAGAACTGAGGAAAGACAGAAGAGATTTTTTTAAAAAAAAACTACATTAATTATAGTACTGTTCCTAAGAAATGGGGGGGGGGGGGCAGTGAGGAAGTTCCTCAAAAATAAAAGCTGTTGAAGCCATTAGAAGCAGAACCCAGGTGTTTCTGGGCATGCTGGGGGATTATAATACCAAGGAAATATAAGAAAAATATTATTAAAGACAAAATTGGGTTCAAAATTTTTCATTAAATGGTGCTCTTGATAGGGGCAAAAACAGAATGTTGGGGAACCAGCTAGAATTGTAAGAAATAATAATCATGCTTTGTTAACCGTGATTGTTTTGTTCTGATTAAAGAGGGCACATTCTAAATGCAGCCCAACCTCTCCATTTGGAGCTGCCTATTATCATGGAAAGATTAACATCTTTGTTGCAGAAACCAGGATCGCCAGCCCTTTGAAGACCCCAGCCCTCTGCTTACCTGTTAACTGCCCATTTGGCATACCCTTTGGCTACCTCCCCATGTAATATTTGTTCTACCCAATATAAGCAGCGGGCTTATGGGGGGGTGCAGAGCAGATTTTTGTGGATGACCTGCTGCTCTCCCATACTGCCGGCAGTATTGGAGTAAACGCTCATATAGGATTCAGCCCTGTCTCTGCTTAATTGGCTCAAATAGTGACAGGCAGCACGGACCCATTGATTGTCTGGTTACACTCTCTATACTTTAATAATATTTAGCTTTCCATATCTTTCAGTAACATACAATACTATTCCTGCAATGTCACAGCCCACTTTCCTTCTTTCTCCTTCGAGGCTTTGTATATCACGTGTGGTCAGCAGAGAGACGACAAATAATTGATTCTACTTTGATAGCAATATTCATTTTAAGTTCTAGATTCCACAACCAACATTTCGCAGATCATTCTCCTCACTCCAAGCTCAGAAACAGCTTCCCATTGACATACAGACTTTTTTCCGGTGGTGGTGGTGGTAAATTAGCAACTCTTGTTCCCACCCGCCTCCGTGGTGCCAGGTGCTGTCCTTTCCTGGTGGCTATGCAAGGGACTGATGGCACTTGAAAGCCAGGAGAACAAAAACACACAATTCCTCTGCCCCACAAAGGATTATCTCCCTGCACCACACAGGGTTGCAGATAGACCCTAACTCACAAAACGATTGTTTCCTAAAACTCAGCACATATTATATACTGTGTTAGTGAGTTGGTTTGTATGAGCTTACAGTGGATTTCTCCCTACAAAAGAATATTGAGCCACCTATTAAAGCTTACTTAATCCACAGTATTAGCTAACAACAATGGACACTTAGTAATTAATCTCTCACTCCTGCAAGGCACAAAAAAATATTATTATTAGCCATTATATCACCCCCATTTTACAGAGCTGAGACAGAGGCTCAGAGAGGTTGGGCAACTTAAGGTCAGAGAAAGCTGGTAAGTAGCATAAAGATGGTGAACAGGACAGAGAGAACTGACCTGAAACTCTGGTTTCCCACAGAGGGGAGACTGGCTGTGTGAGGAGGAGGCACCAGAGGAAGCAGTTTTTCTCTTTTGTCCTTGAGTGTACGGTAAGCAGTCAACAAACATCTGGAGAAGGCATCTCCCTTTTTTGGCTCCTTCCTCTCTCCCAGGCAACCTCTGGTCTCAGTGGGCCTGGGTGACCTCTATTAGAGCTCTGCCCCAAGCAGCTGAACCACCCCAATCACCAAGCTCCCTACATCACCATCAAGTCCCACCCCACATTAAAAGCCCATTCCTAATCCTATGAAAATAACCAGATCATCCATTCACTCAATTATTATTATATTACATACCTACTGTTTGCAGTGTTAATTCCTGGGAATGCAGCAATAAGAGACCTTGTTTCTCCCCTCACAAACAAGAATACAAAGGTATACATAAGAATGACCATCTATGTTGTTTAGAAGAGAGAAAGGAAACCTGGATGTTCCATGAAAGAGTAATGATCACTGAAATTGCAGTATATACACATTATTGAATACAGGGCACCTATGGAAATGATACAGATTATACAGAAAAAGTCATTGCCAAGATGTCCACACTGTATTAATTGGAAATAGTTAATAACACATGAGTATAGAGTATGATAGCATTTGGGGTAAAAATATAACATGACATAGATCAGCAATAACAACAAAAAGCAATCTAGAAGGATATCCCAGGATGTCAACAGTAGTCAACAGAGTTGTAGGATTACAAGTGATATGTTTTTCTGTATTTTCTGAATGAGCACATATCTTATCATTAGAAAAGCATTACAAATTTCTATTTTGGAACAAAACAAAGCCACATCCCTGTTCTATCTCCTATTTGGTAAGCACTCAAATATTTGTTAAATAAATCAGCCAATGAGAAATGAAATCCACTTCAGTGGTGATTGGCAGAAAACAGCCACAGTGAACTATCATTCTAACTACGGCATAAAACTAGAAAATTTATGTCCTGGGCTGGTAGCTCAGTTGGTTAGAGCATTCATTATCCCAATACGGCAAGTTTGAGGGTTTGATCCCCAGTCAGGGCACATGCAACAATCAACCAATGAATGTATAAATAAGTGAAACAACAAATCGATGTTTCTCTCTCTCTCTCTCTCCCTCTCTCTCTCTCTCCAATAAAAAGTTTTTAAAAACTAGAAAAAATTACTGTACTATACCTTTAAAAATGATTAAGATGGGAAATTTTTTGTTATTTTTTAACACAATAAAAAAATAAAAATTCTTTAACTCCTGTAATATTCTTTAGTTTTATTTATATAAATAAACATTTACTTGGTAGAATTTAAAACAAATAAACATAAAATGAGAAAAATTAAACAGCTACCTATAAGTAAGTCCAAGGAGTTAAACAAGCTATATATTTGCCCAACCCAGAAATTAGCTCAGTTTCTTACATTTTTCTCTTTTGAGTTTAAAGAATCCCTTAAAACCCCAAGGTTTTCACAGTCATTCCCAAAACTGTGGCAGCAGGATTCTGGGGGTTTGTCAGAAAGGAGGTTCTGACAGGTGCTTTCTCACACAGGTTTCAACATTCCAGAACATGTTAGTTTCCACAATCAACAGCATTTCCATGAAAAGCAAAGTCAAGGGTCAGTGTCCTTCCTTAAAGGACACTTAGTACCCAGAGGGTCCAAGTCTGAAACGGGCAAAGATAGGCCGTGAGCACACACGGTGTCTGACCAGGGGCTGGACCAAAACCAGTTCCCCGGGTGGGGAATCCCTTTCTCACGAGGTTAGGGTTACTTTCAGCACCAAGGAATGTTGACCAAGTTCTCTGTTCTCAGACAGCAGTTGGATTCTTTGAAACATTCCATCACACCACCCTCCACATGTGATATACTTTAGCAGGTTTAAGGTTAAAAGGTAAACTAACTCCACTTTCAACAGAAAACAAACATTCCCGGGAGATCACTTAGAGCAGGTTGTCAATCTCAGCCCCATGACACTGGGGCCTATAATTCTTTGTTGGGGGCTGTCCTGTGCACGCATCCTTGGTCTCTACTTACAAGATGCCTCTACCACCACCCCCTCCTCCTCTGCCTCACAGATGGTGACCATCAGAAATGTCTCAGACAATTGTCCTCCCATCTGTTGAGAACCTCTGATTTAGGGGTTAAGAGCAAGAGCTATGGAGTCAGGCAGTCTAGGTTCACACCCAACCTCAAACACTACCTGATGATGTGGCCTTGGACCAATTTCCTAGGTCTCAGTTACCTCATTTGTAAAATGGGAATAACAAATATCTACTTCAGGGTTTAATGAGACAATTCAGGCAAAGTTCTCAGCATAGAGCCTAACAAAGGGTACACCTCCTCCCCCCTCCCCCCAAAAGCCAGTTGTTATCATCTGCATCATCACAGTCCTCTCCCTCCTTCCCAGAGATGCCCATTCTCTTCAGTCCATCAAGTCAACATGGAAAGAAGTAAAGATGGGGGAGGGGATCAAGCATTAATGCCCGATTTATAACAGTTTTTTTCATTTTCTAATCAAAAATGCATCTGTTGAAGGAAAACACTTCTAGAAACAAAATTCCTAAGAGCTGAACCCAAGAGAGCATCCTAGCCACTTGGGGAAAAGTTCCATGTGTTTGGAAGCACTTCCTAGGTGCCCAAAAGCCAAAGCCATCTGTATGTCCTCCAAGGAGCGAACAAGGCAGCCCGAACACTCATTTGCACCCACGAAAGCCACAAATACCTGCCGCAGAACAGGGCTGAGAAAGAGGAGTTAAGCGAGTTCTAGAGGAGGAAAAAAAAGGTGCAAGAAAACGAAGTCTTGAAATTCAAAATAGACAAGTCTAGAATGTGGGAAGAGAAGTGCTTATTAGGTTTAAATCATTGTTTAAAGTTAGTTTTAAATTTCCTCATTGAAATAAGGAGGAAAAAATTGTACTTGTTTAACTTTATAAGAACTTAACAACAAGCAGTTAACGAAACACAAAACCCCAAATTTGCCTGCTTGTGTCACGGAGATTATGCAGTAATGGAGAAATCTGCCGAGCCCCTTCCAGGGGTGCTTTATGCCAGCCCAAGCCCTGCCAAGCCTTGGAATGTTTCAAAGCTTGGCCAGAGAGCCAACCCCCACCTACATCCAAGCGCGCTCTGGGACAGGGATGTGGGGATGAGAAACTGTCCTCTGCCCTCCTAGGCTCTTCCTGCTGTTCTAATTACATTGACATGAGACAGATTAGATCAACAAGAAAAAATCACCAACTTTTATTACATACCTACATACATGGTTCAGAGACAGAAAGTTAAAATGAGGTATACATGGCATTCTGAGCTAAGGATGAGGTAAGGCGCCTTGGGGCTTCCGAGGGGAGGAAGGTAATTTGCAGGATGATAAGAGGAGCAGATGTTCAGTAATGAGAAGTCTGCCCTACCCCATAGATAGGTCATAAACAGTTATTTCTGGTGGTAACTGACATTATGGGCAAGCCCCCCAATTTAAATCTTTAAAGGAGAGGTAAAAGTTTA